ACCGGTATTGAACTATGTGAGAGTGAATTGCTATTATACTCCCTATTAGTCGTCGCTTTTCCAGGTAACAGCTTTAGAGCTAGGTATCACGAAAAATACCTCAACATCTCAACTACAATTGAGAATGTCTTTCATGTGCACTTTAGCAGCACTGCGATCGCTAATTATCTGTATCGTGCCAACAATAACTTAACGAGAGACTTGGGAAAAGTCAATGGCATATTGAGGTGGAGGTATTATCGAGAGGAAATTGAGAGGATCGTCACAACCAATTCATCGACTCTTCAAGCTTTAATCTCCTCGCGTGACGCTATCATGGATTCAGTGACTGAGTTACGTAAACATTTAGCACAAGAATGTTCAAGGAAAGGGAACCGTCCAGCTGAAGAAGGTATGAATAGTGACACAGAAGAAGATACTGTCTTCGAGACAAGATTTGTTGAAAATTTCGATCTGTCCCAATTTCCAAACTGGAAGCAGTGTTTTAATGAGGAAAAAAATACAAGTCATTTGTTTTATTTTGGTGGGAAATCCATTGGCTACTCCCAAATTGAAATTATAATTGACTCCAACAAAGTTTGGACAATTCGCCACGAGGGAATGGAAAAAAAAGTCAACTTAGATTGGGCAGATGTTTCACCGCAAGTAAATTCAATTCAAGATTTAGTTAAGCTTTTAGTCACCATTCAGTCCCTGAGAGTATGCTCAGGTTGCCCATTTGAACAGTTTCAGACGATAGTACCAAAGGGAATGTTTGAGCCTGTTTATTACACCCGAAATGGGGAACCTGCTGCCTTTGTTGAAACCAGTCCATCTCAGCATCATAAAAAAATCATACGGTCAACAAGCTGTCTTGTTTTCATCCCCTATGACGAGGCTTTACACTCAAGTGACATATGTGCAGCTTGTGAACACAGTAAGCACTACTTAAGAACTCTAAAGTCAAGGCTTAATTCACATAGTCATCAATCTCAAAATAATGAAAACTCCAAATTCACACGTTTTGACTATCTTAGTAAAGAAGAGGTGCTCCAGTTGCTTCGAGAGAGAACGATTGAGATGAGGAGTCTACAGGAAAAAATCAAACAACTTGAAAAGTGCAGAGAAAAAATGGTGGAGGTAGGGGGAGATACTGATTGTAACTTAAGGGCGATGTTTGAAAAACTAAATGAAGCTTTAAAAAGCAGAAGGGGCAAACAGATTTCAAAGTGTAAATGGAAGGAATGCTCAGAACCAAAGGATGATGCAAAAGGTTGGGTTGAAGCAGACCAACTATACCTTCACGTGAGAGCTCATATAGAACAGGTAGATGAAAATATTGCACCAATTAACCGGATCTATAAATGTCATTGGGACAAATGCTATAAAACGTTTGGAAAGAAAGCTCTTCTGGAGACACACTTGAGGGATCATACAGGCTATTCAAGTGATCAATTTTTTGGTGTGTTGTTATGTGATCAGGCTAAGGCTTTGACTGTTCCAAAACGGCAAATGAGATGGCACCCCCTCATTATAAAGTGGTGTCTGAGAATGTATTCAAAATCTCATGCAGCATATGAAGATCTAAGAGACTCAGGCTTTTTAAAGCTTCCAAGTGGTCGCTTACTTTCTGACTACAAGAACTTTTCATCACCTCGCTCTGGGTGGCAGACTTCAACATTGTGGGAAATGAAGGAGAAATTTGACAAAACAAAAATTGGAAAGAGAGGCCAGCTTGGAGGCCTCTTGTTTGATGAAGTGAAAATTAAAGAGGGTCTTGTCTTTGATCCATCAACATTTGAACTGGTAGGATTTGTTGATTTGGATGATGATGAAACTGACCTACCTTTAGTTGGTCAACTAAAGGAAACTGATTGTAACCCTCAAAATAAACTGGCAACACATGTTCTTCAGTTTTACTTCAAGAGCCTGTTCGGAAAGTTTGAATTTCCATGTGCATTTTTTCTAACAAGAGGGGTTAGTTCCCAAAAACTAAACAGAATTTTTTGGCAGGGAGTGAGTATGTTACATGGTTTCCAATTCACCATAATGCTTGCATGTTGCGATGGAGCCCCAGAGAACAGGGCATTCATGAACATGAATGGAACTAATCCTTCTAAGAGCAAGTGCTATAACCCCTTTTCAAAAAAACCATTATTTTTTATCTCTGATCCTCCACATCTTCTGAAAAAACTAAGAAACAATATTTACAGTAGTGGTTTTAAAATTCAGAATCCCCGCTTTACCCGGGTTTTGCAAAGAAATGGCAAATACATATTATGGGAGCATATTTACTCCGTGTATCAGAGGGACAGAAGAAGAAGATTATATGCTACCGATTTAAGAAGTGCACATGTTCATCTGGATAATTTAAGTAAGATGAGGGTTAAGCTTGCTGTGCAGACCTTATCAAGGAAAGTTCAGCGAGATATGGCTGCACATGAGAACAATGAAACATACGAAACACAAGAATTCATATGTATGTGTGCCACACTCTGGGATGTATTCAATGACAGCATGCCTCTTCAATCAATAACAGATCCCCGAATTGCAAAATTAAATCAAGTACTGAATTATTTTAAAACCTGGAAACAACAACTGAGCCAGATATTTCAGAGAAGAGCAGATGTTTCAGACCATTTTATTACTTGGCAAACAATGTTTGATCTTGAGGTAAGACTAACATTACCCACTAACTAATTAACCTACAAAAGTAGAGCCTAAAGATTGTTGCATGTGCGAAATTTTACTTGCATGCTTACAAAAAAAATGAATAGAGGATGTCACATGGCCGTGCAGGGATACAAAATTACTCTTTGAGTGTTGAAAAGTACAAAAATGTATTTGTGCAAACGGGTGAAAATAATATTAAAATTCAATGTGAAAAGAGAACTGTGGTGTCTCTTTGCAGCCTTTATTCTATCTATAATAATTATAAACACCATTTAAATACCAAACCATTTCACGAAAATATTTTCACGTGGAGAAAATGGTATGATTTATTTATGTAACCATAGAAATGGTGACATTTTCACATTTCAAAATGATGTGTTGTTTTTAGGTGTCAAGATATCATGTTTAAATTGCATCAAAGCTCACCTGGTATTTCACTAGCTGTTTATGTAATGAAAATAGAATAGCTTTATTAGTGAATAAATCACACTGGAGAGGACCAATCAAATTGTAAGTATCACCAGTGATTACAAAATGGTTGTAACAAGTTCCAAAAACTAATGGTCACTTCATATTCATACATACCTTCAGGTATCCATAGATGGCCTTAAAGAGCTTGTTGCCTACATTAACACTGATGAGTTCAAAGCTGAGTATGGAAGTTTGTACATAATTCCAAAGAGACTAAATCAAGATATTGTTGAATCTTTTTTTTCATCACAACGACAAATGTGTGGGGGTACAAGAAACATGACAGCCTTTACCTATGGCTACAATGTAAATGGCATTGTTGCTTATAGATCTTCGAAGCTTATTAAGAACAAGCAGACAAATGTCTATGAAGTGGAGGAATGTGTGCATCTTGCAGAATCAAACCAGCATCTCCCAAGGAGATCGGATGGCCACACTAACATAGACGTAACTTGGACTGTTGATCTTTAATAGATTTAAATAATAATATTAAAATCAAATGCAAAATTTTTTATTACAGTGTTAAATTTGAATGTTGCAAAAAATATATCCTAAAAAGGTGTTACACTGTTTTTTTTGCAGAGGTTCTCACAAGAACATGTAATTTCAAGAGAAAACTTGAGTTTACTATTATTGCATCTTAGAGCAAAAGTTTTATACAAGATATTGAACTCAGAGGAAAAAGTTAACATTGATCCAGCTTTCCTTGAGCTCTTGCTGAATTGACACTTTGCTTTCATTTATGAATAATAATTAGTTTACTATGTTTCCCAGGGTTGGCCACGCAATGTTCCCTCAAGGGAGTATACTCAATGAATCTTTATAATATTATAAATAGATGTAAGGCATACTGATCCATAAAGAAATGAGCAAGATAACGATTTGAATGAACAATGAATGGAGTTATGGAAAGTGATATCACAAGACCTAAAAATTGGGGGAAATGTACATGTTTATAAAAAAGGTTGATTAAATATGCTTCTTTTGCTAGTGGGATCTACCCTGTGCCAAGCTCTCTGATAGTACTTGTAGGGAATTCGTGACGGACAATAGGATGCATGTGATGTGAGAAAGGGGACATAAGCACCTCACTCCAATCAACCAATCAAAAATACCCCCAAGGCATATTTCACATCAGTTTTCACCATCTCTGCACAGTACTATGTTAGAGCTGGGAACTGGATAGGTGGTAGCCTATTCCAGGCTCTGAGACAGTCGGGTCCGCTGAATTGAGAAAGTGCAAAAACGAAAATAAAACGGGGAGAGAAGGGCCAGCGTACTTCTCTCCCTTTCTTTTTCCTTTTTCCTGCCCTGCCAACTTTTTGCGTACCTTTTTCTTTCGCGTCTTCCCCATTATCTGAGAGCCTAGAACAGGCTAGATAGGTGGGAAAGCTGACCCTTTGTTATACTGGTATCAAGTTAAAAAATAATCTTTGGCTTCAGTTACTTGAACTCTCAGCTGCTTTGTTGGTCTTGAGCTGTGTTGGAGAAAAAAAATAAAATATTGAATATTTAAGAAGTCTCAGTACCATTTTAAAGAAAGATTGTGACATAGAGGTGAGAGAGAAATATAAGTTGAATTGATAACTTTGACTATTACCTGACCATTTACCTGTCTTATCTACATGTATCTGTATGACTATCTAAGCTATCTGCAATGTAACTATTTACAGACAGTCAGCCTGTCTATCTGTCTATTGCTCTACCTGTCTACCTTTTCAGGGTACTTGATAATAAATTCTTCATTTCCCGCCAGAAGAACATCCACTTGCCGCGTTTTTTTCTTGCCATCCAGTGCGGGTTTTCCAAGGGCTGACAACAATCTACTCAGTTCCTTCCCTGACAAATGTATGAGGATGTCTTTTTTGCCAGGTTGGTTACAGATTTCTTTCAAACAGTTGGTAACAATTTCGGGGGACTCGAAATTCCTGCGCAGTTTCAAAACAATTTCAGGCGGACTTTTAGAAAGAGGTGATACCACATTTTTATTTTGCTGCCCTCTCACACCACTGCTCTTGCCAATCTTGCCTCTAAGTTCTTCCCTTAACGCCACGCTTCCTTTTTGTGGTTTTAAAGCAAATTTATCCCTAGCTACCTGCTGTTTGGACTTCACGAACATTATGCAAACCTTCTGCAAAACAAATACTGCTACTGGTTTTGAAAACCCTTCACCGATTAGCGTAACCCAATCTTTTCTTAATTGCTGGTCTCTAGACAAGTGTTGCAAACAGTTTGTTACCACTTTCTCTTTCTCAACAACAAATTGGCTCTTACATAGCAAATTGTCCACAACAACATGCAATGACAAAAAAAATTCTCCAACTTCTTGTCTTGGTATAAATCTGAAACGCCCATCTTGTTGTTTCTCGTCCTTTCCGAGCTTTGATAATAACTCCAAAGCCACTGACTTGTCAACTTCGCACCAGGTATCATCACCACTTGATTTTTTTATTCGTAACTTATCTTCCGTACTGCTCTTAATAATATCCCGGGCCCGCTTTATTGCCCAACCCGCGTGATCCTTGACCGCGTCAATCTCCATAATATCATCAACAGCTTCCTGGGCAGCTGGTCGCGATGTGTTTCCTTGCTTGAAAACAGATCCAGTAGTAGACCAGAAATGCTGGAGTATATGTTGGTATACATTGTCAGAAGCAACACATTTTGCGACACCAGCATGCAATAGGATATCTTCCCACGCTTTACTAGCTGGATTTGTTTTGCTGCGACGTTCTGTAAAATTCCTTTCAAGTTCAATTGCACGCAGATGCTTATTTTGTTTCGAAGATCGAAGGCCAAAACACTGCTCAAACAAACCAGCCACTGATGCTACAAACTCAACAAATTTAACCTCGTCAACTTTGCTAAGGACCGAGGCAATTGCCCGCTCTTGTTCCACAAAATTGGTCTGACTATCTGCCAACCTATCTAAAACTAGCTTAAGCGACGAAACACTGACATTTGTCGACAGAAAACTATCCTTACCACTTAGTGACGGCTCAGAAATTGCCTCAATCTCGTCAAAACTGAACTGCTCGTCTGTCGTATCATCAATGAATAACCTCTCCAATTCTTCAAAATCAATATCATATTCCGTACTTGCCGCCATTTTGATCGGCAACTCAGAATTTGACCCCAGTCCACTGCATCACACCTTTTTGCTCGGACGCGCTCGTTTCATCGCCCTACCTTTATCCGCCCTGGTTGTGAGAGTCACTCACGCTAGAGGAAGTAGTACCCGTATCATTTTGATCAAAGCTGTGTAAGTCGAACTGAAACTGTGCATGGAACCTTGCGTTTCCCGTATTTATCTCACCTATTGTATGGAATCAGGATGTGTGAAAATCTTCATTATGAATCGTTATGTTTCAAAGAGCTACAGAACGAGCAAGAATACATTACGGAACGGCGCCTGTAGATCCGTGTCGCCCGCAAAATCGCGGGTCCCATGACTATTTGCGCTCTCACAAAGGAAGCCGACGCACGTCGCGTCCTTTGATTCAATACTCAAGTGTTAGGGTATTGTTTCCACGATACAAAGGTAATTTAACTTAAGAAAATCTATAGATCGAAGCTTTCGCGCTACTCTCTGTTTCATAAGGAAATGGAAACCCTCAACTTGATAAATATTTTGACTTCATAAGATATTTTAACGATTTAGGCCAGCAGAATGTATAAAATTCTAGAAAAACAATTCAGGAAGAAGAACGGTTTTGAACTGCGCTAAACATTGTTTTTATCAGTATGCAAATCACCTACCCAATCACTTACTTTCCATCGAACTGAAATATCCTGTCTTTTCTTTACCACTTTTCGATTTGATTCGTTTCATTTTATATCATTTTGTGCAAGCGGAGCTCTTTTATGCGAATTAATGCTTTCAAAAGGAAAAAAACTTCGAGGAAACGTTGTGTTTACAACCACGGCAATTTGTATCTATTTCGCTTCACTTACGCTTATATGCAAATTGATGTTCATCCGCCGGATTTCGCTGGAGACAAAAATATCGATTTTGAATTCCCAAATGCTTGCCTTTTGGGGCACCCTTTTTATTTTGGCTTTCAAGATTTTAAAAGCTAAGCTTCAGACTTTTCATTCCAACGTTTTAATGCGGAAAAATTAGGAGAAATGCTGCAACTGATTAAAGTCACGCAACATGCTTTAAGACCGCATAACTTGATCTTTCTATTATCTTTTGTTCGTCTATTGTCTCCAAAACAATAACGATGTTTCACCAATTTCCACCTACAAATAATAGGGCACATTTGATTGACAGAAAAATTTGCATTTACTAGCGACGCGTTTCTACAGGCGCGATTCCGTAATGCTTTCGCAGAATTTCCCACTTGCGATAGAGAGAGATTCCGCACACGCTGGTTCAACAATCGAGGACTGTATACTTTCGTACAAATCTGACTTTATTCTTCACAATTCAACATTACACGTTCCGTTCTACGATCAATTTCAATCTAACTAAATTCTACAAAAATGCTGCGTATATTAGCTAAGGAAGTCCACACCCAGATGCGTAATTCCGGCGTGGTCACAATAATCAAATGCGGTCCAAGTTCTTTGCTCACGTTTAACATCGATTCGTGGGCACTAATTTCAACTAATTTCCTATTAAGCGTGGGTTTACTTGACAATCATGGTGCTAATCCTTATGTGCGGTTACGCTAGTAATACCCATACAACATTGATTAATTCTAATTATCTTATCCCACGATATTTCCTGTTACAATCTAAACATCTGTTTTAGCGCTGGCGAGATAATGGCTTACTTTATCAACTACTGAAAATTTAATGAAATAAGAAAATACAATCATAAGCATTCTAACGTTTCACAACAAATACTATTGACCGACAATATTCAAAGCGGGGGTAGCTGTAGTGTCAAATACTACTAGTTTAATACAGTGCAATAAGCAGCAAGAAAAGTATAGTATCGTGTTTCCAGAGAAAAGATATATCAAAAATATGGATAAACAATCTGAATTTATATCATTTCCTACGATTTACTGTGGGAAAACCAGAGCTGACAATCGTTTGATTATTTTCTAAACAACGTTCCCACGAGTTGACGATAGTCTTTCTTTGATTCTAAAATTTTGTGTATTAGCTTTTCCTATCATCAGTTTGGGGAAGTTCCCAGCTTAAAAATGACAAGTGTACCTGTCTGTCAAAACATCATTTATAGATAAGGATAAGAGATTCCATCTTTTTTCCAAAATGTCTTTCATCTTTAACGGTTGAGAGATCCTTAATCAGGGCCAGTATTTCTTTCACAACTTGTTCATCTGCGGTGTCACGAAAATTCTTACTATGTGTCAGAAAGTCAAGAAGCAGATTTCCTTCAGTTGATTCTGCATCAAAGACCTCAGTAACGTCAATCTCATATTCTTGGTTGTAGACGTCATATCTCCAGCCAGCTTCCCCAACAATCTTGCATAATTTCTCCACAGTTTTGAAGCTTTCGGGAACTGAGTCACCCGGTTTTCCATACCAGTCAGGAAAGCGTTGCTTGTCTAGAACCCAGCATATGAGGTCCGGCCCCTCCACCATGAAAAGTAAACTGCCGTTAGCATGGAGCTCGTTCTCAATGCAATGACTTAAAGCCTCTTCGATATCCACGTAGTAGATACTGTGTATGAAGTGGATGACGTCAAACTTCGTGCGTTCTTCTAGTTTCTCAGCTCCTTGAACTTTATACTCTTGAAAGGTTTGACAGCGAACATCGAAATCTATCTGTAGGTCGTTGGCCCTTTTGACAGAAGACTTGTAAAGATCGCAAGCGTATTCATTTGGCTCAATCGCTCTGTTATAGATCTTTATCTGGTCGCGACCCTGTGTTCGTTGCAGTTCTTCTTTCATAATCTTCAAGATTTCCATGTCCACCTCTCCTGTTCCACTTCCAACGCTCAAGATGTTAAAACAGGGTTGATTTTGTGGCAACCTTTGAATCACAGACGCCATGTGATTACGTATGAGCTCAATGTTTCTCACAAATTCATCGCTTTTTTTCTTGAAAACATCTAAACTCCTGTAGTAATGCTCTCCCGTTTCACAGAACGACGCCATTGCTTTTTGCCTTTACACGTAACAAATCACGCAGCCACGAGTGACGAGTGACGCCATCATCATTTTCACTCACGTGACGAAAATCTTAGCAACCAACATTGGGTCATTTCGCTTTCGCTTTTTCCGTCATCGATTCGTCAAGAAATTCCTCTGCTGGTTTACCTGGACCCTCTGGATTGTATTGATGCGAGAATCTTTAAGGTGAGTTGGTTTTTAGAGTTGATTTTCATCGTGCTTTGCTCGACATTCCAAAATGGCTGCTCATCTTGGGTTTTTTGAGTGAAACAATTTGAAATGGCACTCTTTCGCTTGTCCGTGATTGGTCTACTTTTCACAAAACGTTGAAGAAAAAATATTGATCTTCCTTTTTGTAGGGTCGCCCCGCCTCGTCCCCGCCACCGTTTTCGAGTTATTTTCCATTTAACACTTGTTATGTGCGGAGATAAATGATGCAACTGGTGACACTTTAACCACACTTCAGTCGGCCTCACGTGGGGAAACATTCTCACCGTAAATCGTCACTGTGAGTCTTCTTGGGTTCTTCATTTTGGTTTTTGTAACATTCGAGTACAGTTTATCGTTTTCTCACGTAGATTAAGGTATCATCCACCCTCAAGCACCCTCCTTGCGTTGATCGGCGCTAGCGATTTTGCTTTTAACAAATACTCCCATAAACCGTACATTTTCTGAAAGCTTAATAGTTCCAGATTATTGCTTATTTCTTTTAAAAAATCAAAATATTAACCGGATTTAGTGTCACTGTAAATTTAAGTCCAGTCCAGCCAAAAATTAACGGAAGAAGCCAATAAAGAACGCATTCGCTTCTTAACACGTTTGACTAGAAAACCGTGTCTCAGATTTTTGCCAAGTGCATTTGTTCTGTTGTTATAAGCAGGTGAAGTTTATAGGGATAGCAAATCATTAGAACTATCTGTGAAAAAAATACTCTAACTCGAAAATGAAAAAAGAAATCAAAATTCGCAGACATGATTTTTTAGAAAAACTATCTGACAGTAAGCAGGGGGTTCATGGTTTTCAACAGGAGGGTAACTGAGTTTGACACCCGGGCAAAGAATTGGCAAGGCCCGGAGGGCCTTGACCCCTGGGGGGGTCCAGAGGCATGCTCCCCTGGAAAATTTTGAAATTCTATGGTCGCAGGGATGTGTTTTCCTGCATTTTGAAGCTGCAGACAATGACTTTCAACAACCAAAAAACGATAACTTTTCTAGACAATTTAATCATGATTAAGTGATTAGATGAAGTGCGTCAGACAAACATTTGGAGAGACGAAGAGTTTGCGCTAGAAGGTGAATCACAAAAGTATTAGTTTAACAACTTATCTTTAAAATTTCAATGACTAGACGGGAGGAGCACTGTTTTAACGTGAACCCACCGAAAATTAATTCATTGGTGTAAACCATAAGACGAATAAAAAATCACGCCTGGCTTCGTTGAACATTATGATTAAGCTATTCAGTATATACAGGCAAGTAAATCACAAAGAACTCTACTCACCTCTTGGCCTTTTCTCTACTGGATGCCCTTCGGTTGAAGCCGAAAAAAAATCCGCTATCGAGCGCATTCTTTTCTGGGCTGCCATGCTCACATGCTCGCAACACTGATACATTTCAGGTAGTCGTTTATGAAGCACAGTTCTTTTCGCAATGTGTTATGGGGCGATTCTTGTTTTTAACACATAACGCACAAGGGGATTTCATGCCGCGTGTAATAAAGGGGAAATTGCATGGCAAAGTATGTTTTACACTCGATAAGACTCATCAAGAAAAGGGCACTATTGTAACTTAAAACTGTTTTTGATCATTCCTTGTAATAAAAAGAAGTTCTTTGAGATGTAAAGCAGCTGGGCAAAGTCGTGTTCACAGCCGGTCAATTTGCCCGGTGCCTGGCTCTTAATGAACCCCCTGAGTAAGTTGGCCAAATTTCAGCCAAATTGGTTCACAGGTTGCCGACTTGGAGTTTAAAATGTATCCTCAACTTGCCCTGATTTTCATTTCGAGAAAACATTGAAACAAGATTTTGGGCGGCGTATTACCTGTGATGAGATTATGACAGATTATAACACCAAAGCTGTCAATGTTGATGCATACCAGAGAAGGGACAACAATAGTGACACAGCAGGCAAAGTTGAAAACGAAACCCGACAACAGATGAACAATTTATTTCAAAGGCTCTGCTCTGTTCGATCCTTTCTGTTGTCGAGAAAGCTTCGTTAGTTATTGCAACGGGCAGTTTTCATTTTCGCACTGGACAAGCCAAGTTGAGCCAAGCTCACTTTTACTCGATACATTTTTTAAACATTCGACACTCCCCTGGAAAAATCGACAACAAACCACTTCCCGGAGTTTTTCTTGAAGCTTCTTTCCTGCTACAATAGACTTTTAAAACAGTACTTCGTCTGATTTTTATATGGCACGGGACCTCTTGTGACTTTGTCTCTCACTTGGCTGCTTTGCGGCCTAAAAAGCTTGTTCCGGTCGCTAACGAACTTGTGAAACTCGATTCCGGGGTAGTTTCAATGGGTTTTTCAGGAGCTTTGTCAGCTTTTAGCCATTTTTCTTGATTGTAGTAGGAGCCCTTGTCGCTCTCTGCTAATTTAGAAGCCCATTCTTTGGCGGCAAAACGATTTTGTTGTCTTCTTTTGTCTTGGAGTCGAGGACGAAAACGGACAAGCTCTTTTTTCTTCTTTGGAGGCATTCACTTTCAAACTCTAGGGAAAAACAGTGAGCACTATACTTGTAAACCACGATTTCTGTCAAATTGCATGATTAGCTTGGTTCAACAGCGGCCACGTATCAAGTATGACAGGACTTGTCAACGATCAATTAAAATAATTAGCATAGAAAAAACTTTTGCACTCCATAAGTCTGCACAGAAAAAACATTTTTTCCTGGAATTTTTTTTTAAAGAAAGCTCTTGATGAGCTCTATTCAATCATCTAAAATTTGCAAATTTAGAAAAATGATGATTTTTTACTCTGGATGATACCTTAAACCGTGTGTCATCGTTTAAAGCAGGGTCGTGAGCTCTGTTTTGGGGGCATATTAATTTTTGCCACGTTTGATTTCTTGCTTATACATCTGTAGTGTTTAAGGCTACAATAATAACATTGAGGTAGTGTCTAAGTACGCCCTCTTTGTTTTCTTGATATTGGAGCTGTTAATTTTGTTTGGGACGTTGGAGGAAATTCCTAATCAATTGTTTCTTGTGATTTCTTTTCTTTCTAGATTTACAAGCACAGGGCCAAAGAGCCCGGGGGCAGGGGGGGGGGGGGGCCCCCCCAAGGGCCAAAGGGCCGGGGGGGGGGGGGGGGGGGGGTACTCCCCTATAAAAGTGATGAGGGTGCTCATCGTACCTTTTAGGGGTTTAAATTTGTGGATTGGTACCACTTAGGGTGCTAAAACCAAAAATGAATGCTGCCAGAGTTGATACGCTTTATTAGGATAAAGATTTATGACAATACTTTCAAAAAGTCCTTGAGAAGAAAGTCAGTCGAAAATTATCTTTACTACTATCAAAACTTGCAGTGTCAGGTATTTTATTATTTTGCTGTTGTTGAATTGGCACCTCTTAGGGGTGGAAATGAATTTGGGACACGCCCATAAAACAAGACTCCAGTACCTTTTAGGGGTGTTCTTGAAATTTTCTGACAAGCACCCCCGTCACTTTTATATGGGAGTACCCCCCACCTCCCCCGGGCCAAAGAGATACATCCTGAACAAAAGATAACTCATTATTGTTTGATACATTATTGTTTCTGAGATTTGATGAGCTGTGCATATTATTACCTTTTATGAAGTACAACCGTTAGAAGAAGAATAAAAAATGCCAGCTTACAAATGTAGTAAAAGAATCAAAGCAGTTGTTGTCCTACATGTATTATAAAGTACATATCAAACTAAATCTTTGACCGTATGCCTGACAGATATTTTTTGTAGCAGAGAGCAAATTAGTTGACTTTGTGTTTTTTTTCATTCTTCCAGTTTACTTACTCAAAGACTGTGAAATTTAATCAGATCTGTTACTCTCCAGGGTATTTATATATTTTTACAGGTTTTTTGTACGTGTCCCCTTCACTTCTGGTACATGTAGGCTCCCCTGTTGCCAAATGAAATTTGTTTCTCTTACTTTGTGTTAACAGACAATTGCAATCTTTATGATGAAACAAATCATTTTTTTCCTTTCCTTTTCCTGATCCAGTAAAAGAAGCTATCAGTACATCTGTATTTCGGGTGGGACTCTCTTTCCTCAGGGGATATTTGAGCATTTACAGGCAGTATGGTTTCCATAACTTGTAGTGAGGGCAACGAGTAGCCCTGCTAATCTGAGTATCCATTATTGCTTTGTATAGATGAACGGGATATTATCATAGACTGTGAAGCCGGGGGGCTGTGAGGGCTTTAGTCATAGCCTCCCTCTCCTACGCTTCCCCAGTCAGTCAGCCCCTCCACTTAGAAAAATGTTCCACCATCCCTGATTATTGAGGAACTAGTATAGTGTTAAGTGTATTTCTGTGCTCCAGCTGAACCGATTATATTAAGAGGTTATTGTAAGCGGTCAACAGGTGCAGGTCTTTGAAGCATCAAACAAGAATACAGTAAACACCTGCGACTAAGAACCTGCATTTTCCTAAGTTAGCCCTGCAAAACTGGTTCTTACATAAATGGTAATTAGCACAAATTTAGGTTCTTACCGGGTATTTTCTGAAGAAAAAATAGATTCAAACGACATGTAAGATTATTCAGTGGTATTCAGCTTATTCCTTATATAAATATGCATGCCATTACACATTGCAGTATGATAGGAATAGGCAGTGATGAGGCACCTGTGTCTCCAAAGAGGATCCCGAATGTTGACATATCTTGTTTGTCCAAGTGTACAGAATTTTTTTTTACAGATTTAGAAAATAAGAACCTGTTTTTAAATATTAGGCTTAACAAGTTCTTGTATAGAGGGGCTCTAACTGGTAAATTCTAGCCTAA